GTAGATGAGGTGGAACAGGACGAGACAGGACGAAAAATGACAGGGTAAAAGGTGATAGGAGTACATAAAGATAAAAACCGTTTTAACAACGCCATTGTCGCGAACGATGGGGACAGAGGGAGGCGGGAAAGGTCATACGGTATATTTGCGACATGGGAGGACAGGACAGGACAGAACAGGCCACGGCCAAAGTTCTTGAGCGGAAAATGCATTGCGTTGGGGAAGTTGCACGAGAAGTTGATGTCAACGAGCCATTTTTTGTTATGGTTAAATAAGCCACTGGCCGTGACTTATGTACATTTGGATTATGGGCACATGTGTGTAGCATGGTTGTGCGTTTATCCCCCTTGTACATGTAATGCCAGATTCATTCGTCATCCTCCTCGTCCTTATAGTCGCTATCAGCATCATCGTCGCCATCGCCATCCTCATCCTCATCGTCATCCTCATCAGCATCAGCATCAGCATATTCGTCATCAATATCATCCTCCCCCTTAGAATTCGTAGCCTCCGAGCCTTGACTGGCACTAGGTGATAAGGTCCTCACACTACATGGATCGCCATCGTAATCATCGTCGTCATTTTCAATTGATCTGATCACGCCATCCGTCTGCTTCTGCTTCTGCTTCTGCTTGGTGTAGTGTTCCTTCGCGATCGGCTCAGGGCTCAGAGTACGTGTGCCTGTCAGTGTGCGTGTGGCTGTGCTTGTGCCAGTACGGATGCCAGTGCCAATTCCCACATCCAAATTTCCTTGTCCGGCGTTGAGATCGCCATTTCGGTTTGTACCATCATGGTGGTCATTGTCCCTGTTGCTGCTACTGTATTTATTATGATCATCACCTTCCTCATCATCATTATTATGATTAACTTCAATTGCAACCACCTCACTCCGATTCCCGAGGATATCAACCGTGACATCCTCCAGCATACGGCGTTTTCGACACCTCCCGCGGGAACGGCGGGTAGCGGTACGCACAGTGCCATCTTCTTCATCCAAGTCGCTGTCATTTGCCGACCGTTTGCTCGTCACACTATGGCGGGAGGAGGAACGTGAGGAAGATCCCTGAACGGCTCCGGAGGATGTATTCATTGTTGAGGAGGATTTAGGACGGGAGCCTCCGCTACGTGGAGTAGGCACAGAATTTGAAGTGGGGGTTGAAGATAGCGACGTTGAGAAAGGAATTGATGATCTGGGTAATGCACGGTTTTTGTTTTCCACTAGTCTATTAAGAGCGGCGGTAATGTTGGGGCTACACTCTCCAATCATGGCTCTGATTGACTCGTCATCGTTTGCTGGGACCCTTTGTCCGAAGATTGTTATCATCCAATGCATATCAGCAGGATGAGTGACGGTGGGACTTTGGGACTCTGACGGAATGTTCTCCGGGTTGATTTTTGGGTCGATCATCGGCTCCTTGCTTGTGATTTTTCTGTAAATAAGATCGGCCGCCTTAATCCTTTCTGGAAGCTTTGGAAGTCCGACATGAGGTCCATCTAGATTCCGCACTGAGGAATAGTGCTGGAACGACTGCAGAAAATGTCAGTGCGAAAGATATCTGAATCCATTAGGGGATTCACATACGTGAAAAGCTAGATGTATAACCCCCCGATTCGGATCTGCCTCAGCAAAGAAGGTTTTGGAAACCTCTGGCACTCCGTCCTCCGAATATGAA